GTAAGAGTAAAAGAGTAGCCTATTTAAAAGTACTCATGAGTATTGAGTAGTGAGTACTGAGCTGTTGATTTTGTCAGGACCCCGGGCTGATCAGCCTGGCTTTGTCTGTCTGTTTGTGTTTATGGTTGTCATGTGCATCTAGCACATGGCTTCTGTTTTGTTTATGTGTTCCTTCATTTGTCATGTCTTGGCCCCGCCCCCTCGTTTAATTTTATTAGTCAATTTGTCTCCCCTGCCACTGCTCGTTATCCTGCTTATTGATTGCCCTACTTATTCCTCTTGTGTGTGTGTTGTACTTTGTCAGATTGTTGTTTGCTCTTGAGCTCTCAGCAGCTTCATCTGTCTGATATGTGCTCCTGGCCTGCCTGGGATACTGAGGCCTGGTTCTGTAGGCTTTGATATCTGGATCTCCCTCCTACCGGACTCTGGCCTCTCAAGTTTATACATCTGCTTGTTCCTGGAGATTTCATCTGGTTACCTCTGCCTGCCCTTACTTCAGCAGCAGGAGCTCTCAGCAGCTTCATCTGTCTATGTGCTCCTGGCCTGCCTGGGATACTGAGGCCTGGTTCTGTTGGCTTTGATATCTGGATCTCCCTCCTACCTGACTCTGGCCTTTCAAGCTTATACATCTGCTTGTTTCTGGAGATTTCATCTGGTTACCTCTGCCTGTCCTTACTTCAGCAGCAGCCTTCACCTATGTGGTTTTGCCTCCTAGACTCTCTTGCCATTCCGTGACTGTTGCCAGGCAAAGGATTACTTGACCATTTTGAGCTGTTTTTTGCTGAGTTTGCTCTTTTTCAAATAAACCCATATTTTTCACCTGCATTTGGGTTCTCTCTCCGTTACTGCCCCTGACAGAACAATCTGGCCAGCATGAATCCAGCAGGTGAAGATCCAGTGAGATCAGCTTTCGCCCAGCAGGCAGCTATTTTGGGCCATCATGAAAGTCAGCTCTCCTCATCTAACCGTGCCATGGAGATGATGGCCTCTCAAATTGCTGATCTTACATCTCAGCTCCAGCAGCTCTGTTCTGTTCAGAGTTCAACCCAAGCTGCTTCCCCATCTTGAAAGAATCCTCAAATTTCAAAATTTTCAAAAGTGCCTATAACCTTTGAATGATACTGTAGAAATAGATACTGTATTTTTCAATCAGTCATAGCCAATTATTCATTAATTCCTTGAATCATTCACATTTTTATTCTTTTAGTTATTATGTTGCATATGCAAAAGAACAGAAAACAGAAAAATACACATACATAATATTTTCCATTGTCCATGGCTCTTGTGCATTCATTGCAAGTGCAAAAGAACAGAAAGCACAGACCATTATTACACGAATAAATCTTTAAAATTTTCGTGACTCTTGTGCATTCTTTGCAAGTGCAAAAGAACAGAAAACAAAACTATACACATAAATAAAACTATACACAAACTTTCCAATGTCCATGGCTCTTGTGAATTCTTTAAACATAAATAAAACTCAAGTTCCCATGTCTCTTGTGCAAAAAAAAAAAAAAAAAAGAACTATACGCATAAATAAAACTTCAAATCAAAGATCAGTGTTTATTTTTTTTCATTTCGTTTTTTTAAATTCCTTCAACCACTGCTCCTTTGGTACAGTCTCTACAGAGGGGCAGTATATAATGCCCTTGTATTGGCTATGCCCAGTCTCCGCTGTCCTGAACTGCCCGCATTTTTTGCATGTGTTGTGCTGTACTTTGCGAGTCAGTTTTCGAACCGGAGCAGCAGCAGGAGCAGGAAGGGCAGAGGAGAGGCTGGCCCTGAGAGCCTGTGGAGCAGCAACTAGGATAGGCCCTGTTAGTCCCTGTGAGGCCATTGGCATCAGCATCACCAGTTGAGCACCTGGGGGTGGAGCAGGGAAGTGTTGCTGCTGGGTTTGATTGAGGCCTCTCAGCTGGCGGTGACAAAACCACTGGGGCTGAAGGTATTTTCCGCTTCCTCTTCGTCTGTGCCTGGCCCACGGTGCTACTGGGCAGGTGGTATTGGTGAGCTGGGCCTGGTTGGGGCGGCTCAGACGGGGGGCGCACATTGGCAGGGAGTAGAGGGTCAGCCGCCACAGACAAGCGGCTAGGCAGTTGCAGCCCTTGCATCAATACTGCACTGTCCTGCCTTTTCACTGACCTGTTGTGCCACTGAACCAATGTGGTGTGGCTCACATCCACCAGCTGCAGGATGGTCTGCTGCATAACAGCAGCATTGGCCAGAATGCGCTGCCTGATTTTCTTGTAGTCCTCCAAGATGAGGTCCCACCTGGACACTGTGCCTGTCCCCTTCTTTTTGGGACTCTTATGGATGGCGCAGAGCCTGACAAAAATGGTCTCTATCAGGCGACAACAATCTGGCCACTGGGCAAGTGGGGCAGTGGTGGTGAGTGCATGCCTCTTCACACTCTCCACCCCCGGAGTGAACTCCTGCCTCTTCTTGGGGGACCTGAACCTCCCTGTGTCCAGCCTGCTCTGGTGTCTGGCAGCAAACACCACCCTCTGCTTAGTCCAGCAGGTTCTGCCAAAGAGCAACTATATTGCTCACCTAAGCAGAGAGAACATATAATACATGGCAAATGAGAAAACAAAACATGTGCAAGTGTTAACATATAACAGGTCAAGGAGGGAAAGTAGAGAAACTTGAATGTTCCTAACCTGCTGGTTGGTGAGGGCCAGAGAGGGCTGATTCCTAAGCTCCACCAGATACTCCGCCAGGCTGTCCACTCTGTCCATCCCTGGCACACCAGCACTATCCAAAACCTGGAAAAAAAACAACAACAAAAATCCCCAGAAATGAGCAACATTATGAGGACGGTTAAGTAGGACGAAAAACAAATACATATATACATATTTCTAGATGTCTTTTTGTTGACAAGAGTCAACTTCAGACTCCTGGAAATCTCAGAAACTGTTAAAAAGATTCA